CCCCCCCCAGCACCCTGAGGACAGATCCTGCCTCTCTACACAGGCACACACAAATAGACAGCTCAGACCTGACTCAACCCTAATAGACATCAGAGAATCCAACATCACCCCATCCTCCCAGGGCTTTCAGCGCTCCTGTCCCTGTCCAAGGGACAAAGTGGGGGGAGAATTGGGGGGTGATGGAGGGAGATGTGGTGGAGGCCAGGGAAGGGGCGAAGCAGCAGCCAGTGGGTGCAATCCTGGCCACGTACCCCCCCTCGGCGAGTGGGGATGGGGACACTGGGGGGGGCAGGATCCGTCCCCTGGGACACCCCAGCTCTGCCACAGCCCACGTGCCTGTCACAGCCTAAGTGACAAACCCCGGGGAGATGCGGCTGTCACCTCCTGTCCCCTGGGACGTCTCTCTGTGCTTCCCCATCCTTTGGCCCCTCTCCTGGTCCCATCCCCTGACTCCAGCAGCTGGGGATTTATAGAAAAAAAACCCCAAAACTCAAAAATCCTCAGATTTGAGCACTCCCCATTCCCACCACAGGTGCCCACGACCTCCTGCGGGATGAGAAGGATGCGGGGGCGTGAGGCTGAAGGCCAGGGTCCCCTGTCCCCTGTCCCTGTCCCCGGCTTTCATTCTTCTTTAACTCCTTCTTCAAAGCCAGGCGATGCGGCAGCTGTGGGGCCAGGTGCCGGAAGCCGACCTGCGCTTGCTTTCTCTCTGTTTTTATTTATTTCTTTCGCTCCCCGTTGACCCAGAGAACTTCACTTTCTAAAAAAAAAATGTCCCCGTGTCCCCCCTGCCACCGTGGGGTTGGGGACAAGCCCCATGCTGGGGTCTGCTCACGCCCTGTGTCATGGGGATAGGATAACACCCAGCCGTGCCCCCATCCCTGGAACTGGAGGGGATACCCAGCACCCAGCTGGGATGCCAGCGCTGGCCAAGGGAGGGTCATGACATCCCCGGCATGTGGCACCTGTGGCACCCAGGGGCTCCCCCGGGCCCTGTCACACCCCCCAACCCCCCCGAAAGCTGCATCTCACTTTCTGCTTTCACTCATCCTTGACAACCTTTTTCTGGGGGGGTTTCAGCTTTATTTTCATTTCTTGTCAGGTTTTTTCACTGTAAATCCACCAAACCCAGCCCCCAAATCTGCCTGTTTTGGGGACATTGAGACAGGGACTCCCCTGCCCCAGGGGGGACACATCATGACACCCCCAAAACATCCCTTGCGGGATGGTTTCCACCCACAGACCCTCCCTGGGGACACGGAGGTGTCCCCAGCCAGACCCAGCCCAGGCTCCTGGGTGCTGGGTGGGTGCATGGGGCTCACGGGCTGCCTGTGTCATGGGTGGGGGTGGCCTTGGGACCCCCACCCAGGAGGGTACCCTGAGCCAAAGGGACCGGGACCCACTGGGGAGCCAGGGCAGGAGGAGGAAGGATGGGTGAGCCTCACAGATGTCCTTGTCACCCAGAGGTGGGAGGGGGTGCGGGGGGCTCTGGGTGCCCAGGCAGAGGGGTCGCTCCCCCAAAGGGGTGCAGAGGGTTTAGGAGGGGGCAGGGTTTGGTGTTGAGCCTGAGGGGGCTTTTGCTGGGAAAACTAGGGGGGGGGGAAGACACGACCATCTGGGTTTCCTGCCCCCATAACCCTGTCCCTCCACCCTTGCAAAACCCAGTCTGCCCAGGACAAGGTGGGACTCGGCCACTGGGAGCCCTCACCCCTGAGAAGAGGGGAGATGGAGACTGCCTGCTGCTGGGGGGGTGGGGGGGACACGGCACCCCCCCAAGGACAGGGACCCTACAGACATGGCAGGGGTGACACAACGCCACGCTCAGCCCACCTGCCCACTCCAGCCACCTCCATCACCACCAACGGGGCACCCCCCCAACTGCTCCCCCTCTTAACCCCTCCCTGCCCAGCACACACCTAGGGCCAGCTGGGCTCTGACTGGGCTCATGGGGACCATTAACCCTTTGGGAGCCAGCACGGGGGCTGTCCCTCATCGCCGTCCCTGCAGCGCCGGGGCGAGGGGAGATGGGAGGAACGTGCTCCCCAAATCCCTTCTGCCCCGGCCAGGGGCACGGGTCTGGGGACTCGGGGGACAGGAGGGATGTGGCCTGGGGACGGGTGACAGGAGGTGGCCCAGGGCATCCCCCAAAGGCAGTGAGTGCCCCCACAGTGCTCCCCCCAACCACAATGTATGTACCTACGTGTACTGTGGGTACCTGTGTGCGCTGCACCCCCCTGTGCACACACATAGGCGTAAGTATGTGGGCTGTGTGGCC